ACTCTGTTGCCCAGGTTGGAGTGCAGTGGCACAATCATGACTCACTGCAGCCTCAAACTCCCAGGCTCAAGCAGCCCTCCCTCTTAGCTTCCTGAGTAGCTGGGACTACAAGCACGTGCCACCATACCCAGCTAGGTTTTTTTTGGCATTTTTTGGAAAGCTGTAGTTTCTCCGTGTCACTCTGACTGGTCTCAAACTCCTGGGCTCAAGTGATCTGTCTGCCTCGGCCTCCCAAAGTGCTGGATTACAGGTGTGAGCCACCGTGTCTGGCCAGTTTTGCAAACATTAAATTAGACATACAATAAAAATAAGCAGATACACAAATACCTACAGAAACAATAGACATTACAGACACAAGGACTCCAGATATTGGTATTATCAGACATAGCCTTTAAAATAAATATACTTACTATATTCAGGGAGATAAACAACAAGGTTGAGAATATTGGCAGATAACTTGATTTTTTTTTTTTAAAGAACCTATTGAAAAATTTTAGAAATGAAATATAATGGATGAGTTTAATAGTAGATTAGACGTGACCTTGAGTGAGGCACAAGAAACTATTCAAAATGAAGTGTGCAGATACAGAAAGATGTAAAATATAGGAAAGGATAAGAGACACAGGACACAGTGGAAAGGCCTAATATATATTTAATTTTATTGGAGTCTCGGAGAAGAGAGAGAGGATGGGAAGAAACAATATTTAAATAAAGAGTATAGGCTGAGAATTTTCCAAAATGATGAAAGACATCCATTTACAGATTTAAGAATTCCAACCAATATCAACCAATATAAAAACTGGGCGCAGTGGCTCACGCCTGTAATCCCAGCACTTTGGGAGCCCGAGGTGGGCAGATCACTTGAAGCCAGGGGTTTGAGACCAGCCTGGCCAACATGGTGAAACCCCTTCTCTACTAAAAATACAAAAATTAGCTGGGCATGTTGGCGCACATCTCTAATCCCAGCTACTCAGGAGGCTGAGGCATGAGGATCAGTTGAACCTGAGAGACAGAGGTTGCAGTGAACTGAGATCACACCACTGCACTCCAGCCTGGATGATAGAGCGAGACTCTGTATCAAAAAAATAAAATAAAAATAAAAAAGGAAATTTCCATTGAGACATATCGGTAGTAAAACTTCAAAAGCCAAAGCCAAATGGAAAAATCTTAAAAGCAGCCAAAGAGAGAAAAAGTTTGCCTTCAAAGGAGTCCCTGTTAGACTGAATGCTGACTTCTCAGTAGCAGCAGTGAAAGCCAATGGGATAGTATCTTCAATTTTTAGAAAGAAAATAACTGTCATCTTAGAATTCTATACTCAGCAAAAAATATCTTTCCAAAATAAAGACATTTTCAGACAAACAGAATTTGTCACCATCAGATCTGCACTGAAGGAGATACTAACAGATGTTCTTTGGGCAGAAGAAAGATTATCACACATGAAAAGTCAGAAAAGCAGAAAGGAATAAAGAGCAACAAAAATGGTAAACCTGTGAGTGATGAGTCTAAACAAATATTAAATATATAAAACCATTATAATAAACTCTTAAGGAATTTAAGATATAGAGAGAATTAAAATATGCAACAACAGGCCGGGCTCATGCCTGTAATCCCAGCACTTTGGGAGGCTGAGGCAGGCAGATCATTTGAGGTCAGGAGTTTGAGACCAGCCTGGCCAACATGGCGAAACCCCGTCTTTACTAAAAATACAAAAAATTCAGCTGGGCATGGTGGCACACACCTGTAACCCCAACTACTGGGGAGACTGAGGCATGAGACTTGCTTGAACCCAGGAGGTGGAGGTTGCAGTGAGCTGGGATCGCGCCATTGCACTCCAGCCTGGGTGACAGAGTGAGACTCTGTCTCAAAAATAAATAAATAAATAAATAAATAAATAAGATTAAATATGCAACAACAATGACATATATGTCTGGAGCAGGTAAATAGACTTAAAATGTTCTAATATTCCTTCATTGTCTGGGAATAAGGTAGAAGTACCACTCCTGTTCACCTTTGAAGAGGAGGCCCTAGCCAGTGCAGAAGGCAAGAACAGAATATGGAAGATACAAGGATTGGAAAGAAAGAAAACTGACACTTAGAGATTTTGTACATGAAAAAATACAGAAGAAATGTACAGATAATTGGTTAGGATCCGTAAGTGAGTTTCATAAGGTTATTGGATACAAGGTCAATGTATGTAAATCAATTGCATATCTATATGCTAGCAACAAATGGTTAGAAAATGAAAATATTTTAAAGCTGCACCTTAAAATTACTTTTAAAAATACATAGACCACATGTAGAAGGCAAAGAAGGGGGGAAAACCCTAGAAATATATTGTATAAAAAATGGATAAGACTCTATCCAAACATGTCAATTCTACCCAACTGATCCATTAGATTCAGTGCAATCCCAGTCAGTCAAAAACCCAACAGATTTGGGGATTGGGGAAGAGATTTGAATAGACTGCTTCTAAAACTGATATGGAAATGTAAAAGACTAAGAAAAGCCAATAAACTCTTGAAGAAAAACTGGGTAAGAGGATTTGCTCTATTAGATATGAAGACTACAGCTTTAGTTATAACACTTCAATGACAGTGGCACAAAGATAGACCTATAGAATAGAAGAGTATAGAAACAGACCCAATGTAAATGAACTTTTGATTTTAAAAAGTGATAGGTCATGCCTGTAATCCCAGCGCTTTGGGAGGCCAAGGTGGGAGAATCAATCACTTGAGGCCAGGAGTTCACGACCAGCATGGACAACATAGTGAGACCCTATTGCTAAAAGAATTTTTTTAATTAGTTGAGTGTGGTGGCGTGCACCTGTAGGTACCAGCTACTCAGGAGGCCAGGGTGAGAGGATTGCATGAGCCCAGGAGTTTGAGGTTGGAGTGAGCTATGATTATACCACTGTACTCCAGCCTTGGTGGCAGAGTGAGACTCAAAAATAAACAAACAAAAAAGATGGCCCTACAAAGAAAGGAGAGTCTTCTTCAATCAATGGTGCTAGGATAATTGAATGCCTATATTAAAAAATGAAATAACCCCATTTTATACTATAAACAAGAATAAATTCCAGGTAAATTATAGATCTAAATGTGATAGGTAATGTAATAAAACTCCTATAAGAGAATATCTTAATGACTATAGAGAATGATTTCTTACACAGAATGAAAAGCACTAACCATACAGGATAAGAATGGTAAAGTAAGCCAGGCACTGTGGTGTGTGCCTGTAATCCCAGCTACTTGGGAGGCTGAGATGGGAGGATTGCTTGAACCCAGGAGTTTGAGGCCAGCCAACATAGCAAAATCCCATATCACAAAAGAGAAAGAATGATAAATTAGACTACATTAAATTATTATCTGTTTATTAAAGAACACCATGAAGAAGGTAAACAGGCTAGAAGGAGATACTTGCAGTATGTATAACCTACAAAGGATCTATATCCAGAATATAAAAACAAATTCTACAGATCAGTAAGAAGGTGACAGAATCCACTAGAAAAAATGGCAAGAGATCTGGACAGGCATTTCTAATAAAGGATATGCAAATGGCCAATAATAGATTAAATGAAAAGGCCTCAACCTCTTAGGGATCAGGAAAATGCTGTGTATCTCCAAGAGAAATGAAAACATACATCCACACAAAAGCTTGTACACAAGTGTTCACAGCAGGATTGTACATAATAGCCCCAACATGGAAACAATCCAAATGCTATCAACTGAGGAATGGATAAATAAAATGTGGCATAACTATTAATGGAATGTTATTTGGCAATAAAAATAAATGAAATACTGATACATGCCACAAATGGATGAACCTTGAAAATGTTATGCTAAGTGAAAGAAGCCAGATACAAAAGGCCATGTATTGTATGATTCCACTTATATGAAATATGTAGAATAGACAAATTATAGAGGCAGAAGATAAATTAGTAGCTGCCTAGAACTGGGAGTTTGGGGGAAAAGGAGAATTGACTGTCACAGGGTATGGAGTTCTTTTTTGGGGTGATGAAAATGTTCTAAAATTGTAGCAATGATTGTACAACTCTGTGACTATATATAAACCATTCAGCATTATACTTTAATTGGGTAAATTGTATAGTGTGTGAGTTATATCTCATTAAAGCTTTTTTTTTAAAATGAGATAGTATTTCATACACAGCAGAATGGCTAACATCTTTTAAACCAGCAATATCAAGTATTGGCAAGGATGTGGAATGATGGTACCTCTCATAATCCTGCTGGTAGGAATATAATTGGTACAGCCATTTTGGAAACTGTTTAACATCACTTCTTACATTTGAACACATGCATACCCTGTGATCTAAGATTTTCCACTCCTAGATATATCTCCAGCAGAAGAGATAAATCCAGAAATGCTTTTGGCAGCATTATTAGTAAGAACCAAAACAACCCAAAAGCTTATCAATAGTAGAATGGTTAAATAAACTACGATGAAGTCATACAATATAATATAATGGAAATGAATAGACGGCAGCTACACACAAAAGGTGAATTTCACAAACATAATGTTGAGTGCAAGTAGCCATATAAATATGTACTGTATGACTCCATAAAATTCATAAAACAGGTAACACTAAGTTGTGGAACTTAGGAATACATGCTTAAGGAGGTAAGTTATAAAGAAAGCAAGAAAACAATTACCATAAAAGTCAAGAGACTGATTACTTTGGGGGAAAGAAGTGTGAGTAATTGGAAAGGGGCAAGAGGGAGTTTCTGGATTGTTGGCAGTGGTCTATTTTTATAAAATCTGGTGATGAGTAACATGTTCATTGTTGATTCATTGTGATGTACATTTTGTGTGTACTGCTCTGTATGTTTCACAGTAGAAATGTTCAGGTAGTAATTAAATACTTAACACAGCACATGTCAGCATACATGTGTATATATGTATTGAATCTAAGCAGCAGTTAGTGACTATTTTGTGAAGATAGTATGCTAAGGACTGATAATTCCATTTCTTCATTTTTTTAGGAGTATGTTTATCCAGAAGCCAGAGACAGACAATACTTATTATTTTTCCATAAAGGAGCCAAAAAGTCACGTTTTGACCTAGAGAAATACAATCAACTCAAGGATGCAATTGCTCAGGTATTACAAAAATTAAAATAAATCCCAGCCCCATCTTGCATGGTTATTATTATTATCCACAGCCACAGTTCTTCAAATGAGTAAACTGAAAGAATGTTCCAACCTTCTTCCTGTATAAATTATTCGTCAGTTGATTACAGTAACTATTTTAGGCATGGACATTTCACTAGAAAGTTTTATAAAAAGCAAGTGAGAAGATGGTGTGTCCGCTCCATCCTGTTAACACCAGCACATTGACATTTTTAGACCTACTTTTACTTTTTTTTTTTTTTCATTTTATTTCTTTGTAGTTGTCTGTTTCTACTTTTCCCTCTGCTTTTTGATTATTTCTATAATAATTGATCTAAGATTTTTCACATAAATGTGTGGTAGCAGTGGGGAAAAGTAAAACCCAGGTAAGAGGGAAAGACTGCTAGAAATCTTTGCCAGGGACAGGTTAGAGGTTATTAAACTAGAAGATACTTGGAAAAGATTGATATATTTTATTTTTCATAAAAGCTACCTCTTTCAAATTTCTGGATGTGCCTTCCTCTCTCTGTTATCTTTGATTTTGGTGAATAAACCCTTATTCTTTTTCTCTGTAGTCTTTGTGACTTAAGAGATTTTTCAGCAATCTCTAGAAGCTTTTCCATCCTCTTTATGTTTAGTTGCCCTTCTCTGCCTTTCCTGTCTCTTCTTGATGATGGGGTTGTGCTTTGAATAGGCTTAATCCATCTTCCTGCTTTGGCCTAAGTGGAGTTCTGTCTTCCTTTACTATGTACGGTGGTTCTAAACTGGAGGGAATACATCAGAATCATCCCTGGATCTGTTAAAAGTACAGATGCTTCAGTCTCACCCTAGGCTTGCTCGTTAGTCCAACTCCTCTGGGGTGAAGTCCAAGCATGTGTGAGTTTTGAAAGTACTACAGTTGACTCCACACGCTGTTTTAAAATTAATTGGCTAAGTAAAAACTTAAACAGATACTGGATAAATAAAATCTTGAGTAGCATGAAGTCCTGGCTCTTAGCCCTTGTGAAAGGGCTTCTCACTGGAGAGAAACACCATCAAGATGCATGTCTCAGATGCTCTTTACATTCTTAGCCTCTGAGTCCTACCCTGTTGATAGCACTGCTTTTTCTGGAGGCTTTGTTGAGGGCTGAAACTGCCAAGGAAGGTTTCCATTTTGTATTCACCCTTTGTTGTCCTGTGTCGTGAGTTAAAATGCTTTGTTTTTCAAGGCACTCTTATTTTGAGAGTTATTGAGATGATCTCTGACTCATAGTAATGGAGAACAGTTTCCTTTTCTCGGTAGAGAGTAATTTCATTGAAAGCTTCGCTAGCCAGTTTTTCTCACCTTTTGTTTCTATTTTAGGCAGAAATGGACCTTAAGAGACTGAGAGACCCATTACAAGTACATCTGCCTCTCCGACAAATTGGTGAAAAAGACTGATCTGCAAAGAGCCTCTGAATCCCGGCAGAAGGAACACCTGTTTGCCTTTTTAATTAAAGCCTTGCAGGTGGAAGCTGGGAGCGATGGGGGATAGAGCGTTTTTACCTTTAATTATAAAACAAAAACAGAAAGGATCTGAGGGAAGAAGGGAATGTTAAAACCTGAGGATCAGGCATTGTGGACTATAAGCTCAAAGGGCTTAGTGAATATTGTCTTAACCAAGTATCTCAGTTTCTGGATGAAAATGATGCAGTTATATAGTAGAGAGATTCATAAAGAGAAAATGATGCTGGAGGTGTTTGTTTCTTGCATCTTTGCAGAGTCAGCAAAACAGTAACACACCAGCACCCCACTCTGCTCCATTTGTTTTTAATTTAACTGTCCCTATTTTTGACATAGGAGTAAATAAATCTACCAGAAAAGCAAATTCTCATGATATGCTAAAATATCATTAGCATTTATTTTAAATTGGACCCAGTCTCTGCAGAGTTACCAGGAATCTCTCCTTCCTGCATCCCTTTACTGACCACCTACCTGTACCTCTTAGCTACACTCATTTTTTCCATTTGATAATTGGAACCAACTTAAAACTGTTTAATAATTGACACTTTAGATTATCTCTTAATACCTTCTTAAATGTCTATATATCCCAGTGCTCTGGATCAGTGTCTAAAAATCATTGGCAACACTGCATGAGGTTGTTGGTTTTGTTTTGTTTTGTTTTTTTATTAGTTAGTCTTTCATAGGAGGAAAAATTGCCCTCCTTTATATACTTATCTATGGATAATCCCCTCTCCCTCCACAACACAAATCAGAGGGAAGGGGGGCATTCAGCTGTACTACCAAATCAGGAAGATGTAAGGTTTACAAATTGGCTAAAAATCATGGCTCTGTAGCCATTTCAACCAGAATAAGTTTATTGCTAATCTGCTTGTGTGACAGCATTCCAGGCCAGCCAGATGGCACTGCCTTGTCTGGAGGCTTTGTTCATCTCGAAGGACACACAATTCCACACTGTTTGTGAGCCCTCCCACCTCCACAACTTCAGTTGTTGTAAATCAAGTGTGTGAATCTCAAAGGGTGCAATTTATCTTTATATAGAAATACATTTCTAGGGCTTCCTTCAGCCCACTCTCTTCACCCTATTTTTTCTTATCTTGAGAGAAAGAGAATTAATCTTATACTTTGTCAAAACATTTTCTACCATATTTCCAGATGACATCTGCGCTTGAAGAGTCAAAGGAATCTGTGTCTAATATCCTGTTTTTAACTGCTGTAGGGGCAGGATGGAAAGGATGATGGGGGCTGCCACACCACTGATTGGCCTTTTCTTTCACGTGATTCATCCTTCCTCATTGTGGCAAGGAGTTTCTCTTTTTCTTCCTCCTTTGGGATCATTGTGTATGAAAAGAAAAACTTTAAATGACAAATCCAGACTCCAGGTGCCTTGCAAAGGTTGAAGGCCAGCCAGGATTGCTGCTGCTGCTACTCCTGCCACCACCCCTTTCATTGGCATGATGGAATGAAAGGATGCATGTCTCCACTTCCTGACCCTCCGCCCACTTCCTTCTCCCTCCACCACCCCCAGTCATCAGCTCCTTCCCTCATTTATTTTTGTTAAGTTGTGTGAATTATTTTTAAACCATTTATCCTGTTTGTGCATAGGGTTTTTAAGAAGAAACAGCACAGTGCAATGAGCAAATCTTTTCGGGGTGTGTGGGAGGCAAGGGAGGGAGGACATGGAGAAAAGTTCTTTAAACAAATAGCAAACTATTGAACATGTGTAAAATCCTGTATCATTTATGAAATATGTATAAAAAGCAATGTACCTCTGGAACAATAAATACTCAATTTTTGAATGATACATCTCATTATTTAAAACAAAACCAGAAAAACTACATTTCCTGTGATTCTAGGTAGTAAGTTTTTACTTCTAAAATTCATTTTTATAAAAATACCATTATCAAATTAAGCTCTCTTCCTTAAGCCCATATTTCAAAAACAGGCGTTTCACTAATTCTTCCTGAACCTAAGATAGTCAGTATTTTCCTAATTTGCCAGAGTCACCAAGAGGTTGAGTGACCTCTACAACCATAAATAAAGTCAGCAGCAGCAGTCTCAGTGAGCCTGAATCCTCATCTCCTGATTGACAGGAAAAATGTCCATGGTATCGGATCACCTGGATTGCCCAGTGTGGGCTCCTGGACTCAAGAATTAATTGTTCAAAGATGCACCAAAATTAAGTATTCATTATTTTCAGAGTTTGTATCAAATTTACAGTTGTAGCCAAACAGGAAATATTACATGCTGCCAAGGTCACCACAAGCATATTTAAAAACTTGTATTAAATATCTGGTTGCTGTAGTGCAATATGAGGTGCTGTTCAAACAGCCTCTGTAGCTGTGGTCCTGCCTTCTGGCAGCTTACAGCAGCCTAACACAGACAACCCTCACCCACATGTAAGGTGTAAGAATTTAAGGTTTGACAGAGCAGGAGCATCGCCATCTTGGACAAGCACCGCCATTTTAAGTTCCCTTTGATTAAAAACCGCCTAAATCCAGCCCAAAATCATCAGCTTAATGGCTAATGTCAGCATGACCATAAACCACAAATGACACCTTAGACCAGAAACATTCCAACCCTGAGATAAAGCCCCCTCTGACCAGAAACATCCCAGCCCCGAGATACCCTCTCCTCTGAACAGACATTCCAACCCTGCAATAAAATTCTCCTCCACCCAGAAATACTCCGAGCCTGCGATAGGCTCTCCCTCACTAAACCCTGAAGTACCCATAGTCTGTAAGAGAATGCTCCTGATCGAAATCAGCCAGAATATTCTCCAAAATAAACCTGTCTTTGACTATGGAGCCACTTTTTGTGTTTCTTTCTTCTTCAATTCTTACAAGGTTGAAAATATTAAGTCATTTTTTGCATTCAATAAATAGTATCTACATACTGCACACATTCTGTTAAGCTTTGCAGGGTTGTTTTTGTTTTGGTTAGGTTTTTTAAGGAAAATAAAAACATGATTCCTGCCTTTAAGGAGCTTACAATTTAAAGTTTAAAGCAGGAGTGTCCAATCTTTTGGCTTCCCTGAGCCATACTAGAAGAAGAATTGTCTTGGGCCACACATAAAGTACACCAACACTAATGATAACTGATGAGCTAAAACGCAAAAAAACCTCAATGTTTTAAGAAAGTTTACAAATTTGTGTTGGGCTGCATGCGGCCTGCGAACCATGGGTAGGACAAGCTTAAAGTATAGTGAACCTAACAACAAAGGAAACCTGATTTAAAAATGATCAAAGGAGTTGAACAGTTCTCCAAAAAGATATACAAATGGCCAATAAACACGAAAAGATGCTCAACATCACTAATAATTAAGGAAAGGTAAAACTACCGTGAAATACCACGTCACACCCATTAGAATGGCTATTATCAGAAAAAGCAGAAAATAAAACGGTGGTGAGGAAGCAGAGAAATTGGAACCCTTGGCACTGCTGGTGGGAATGTAAAATGGTTTGTCTCCCATGGAAAACAGTATGGTGGCTCCTCAGAAAGTGGAACAATTACCATATGATCCAGCAATTCCATTTCTGGGCATATGTCCAAAAGAATTGAAAGTAGGGACAAACAGACGTGTACACACATGTTCACAGCAGCAGCATTCACAATAGCCAAAAGGTAGGAGCAATCCGAGTGTCCGCCAACAAATGAATGGATCAACAAAATATGGTGTGTACACACAGCTGATTATTATTCAGCCATACAAGAATGGAATTTGGTCACATGCTGTAATGAGGATGAGCCTTGAAGACACATGCTAAATGAATCGAGCTAGTCACAAAAGGACAATTACTGTATGATTCCACTTATATGAGTAGTCAAATTCATAGAAATACAAAGTAAAATAGTGGCTGCCAGGGATAAGGGAGGGGAGAATGGGAAGTTATTGTTTAATGCATACAGAGTTTCAGTTTGGGAAGATGACAAAGGTCTGGAGGCGGGTGGTGGTGATGGTTGCCCAACAATGTGAATGTACCTAATGCCACTGAACTGTACACTTAAGTGGTTAAAATGATAGATTTTATGTATATTTTACCACAATGGAAATTTTAAAAGCATAGTGGATTAGAGGCAAATAATGATAGCATCAAATCTATTACTGAGTGTAAGTAATGCAGTTTCGCTGAGGGAGCATAGACTTTAGAGGTGGAAAAAGTAAAAGGGTTCTCAGAACATGGTCCCCAGAACAGCAGCATGTCATCTCCTGGAGTTGTTAGAAATGCAAGTTTTCCAGTCCCTCTTGCATCAGAAACTAGGAGTGGATCCAAGTGTTCAACAAACCCTCCTGGTGATTCTGATGAGAACCCTTGATCTAGCCTAACCATTGCTTTAAAGAGAAAGGAACGAAGGCACAGAGATGGCGTCTATGTCACAACTCCTCAGAGCGTCCTGTAGTCAAGTACCAGATGAAGTGACTGGAGGACTGCTGAGCATGGTGACTGGTGAGTAGAAAAGATGTAACCAGGGGTCATGTTAACGCTAATGTGGTATCTTGCTCGTCAGGGTGCAGCGGTAAGCATGTGGTAGACGCTTTCAAACACAAATACAAATAGGTTGACTTTTAAAATCTATCTGGAAAGATTTCACAGAAAAATAGGACTTCTTAGATTTTAGAGCTCAGTTTCACCGAAACACTTCAGAGTTTTAATTCAGTTTCATCACTGCCAACCTTTGTTGCTCTTCCAAGTAAGTCCAAACTCCTTGTTTCCCATGGTGCACTTGTGATATTTCCTTAGGATAAATGTATAGGTCATTTTTAATGAATCCTACTGAATATAAGATTATCTACTTTGCCTGTAATCCCAGCACTTTGGGAGACCAAGGTGGGTGGATAGCTTGAGTTCAGGAGTTCAAGACCAGCCTGGGCAACATGGCAAAACCCCATCTCTACTAAAAATACAAAAATTAGCCGGGCGTGGTGGTGCACACCTGTAGTCCCAGCTACTCGGGTGGCTGAGGCAGGAGAATCACTTGAACCCCGAAGGCAGAGAATGCAGTGAGCTGAGATCGCGCCATTGCACTCCACCCTGGGCAACAGAGTGAGACCCTGTCTCAAAAGAATACTTATTTGATAAATGTTTATATTTTATAAATGCATCATACACTGAGCAACCCCTCCTCTTTGAATTTCGGCTCCTGTGACTCCACCCTTGCATTTCCTTTCATAAATCTGTGATTACTTCTTGGTCTCCTTTACAGCGTTGTATTCCTCTGTCCACATCTTTGATATCAGGCTTCCCCAAGGTTCCATCTTGGACCCCATTTTCCATGGGTGTGATCTCACCCCCCTCCCCTATTTCAATTACCATTTATATGTTGGTAGCTCTCAAATTGTTACTCTAGCTCAGATGCAGATCGTAGACTGATTTATTCACTTCCTAACTGGTCTATTTCTAGCATTGCCTTCTGTACATTAAATTCTCTCAGTGTCACCAGAGTATTTTTGTTTTTAAATTCTAATGGCACATAATTAAGAAAAATTATAACATATGACCAAGCATCAACATTAAATATGGGGGAGGAGACAAGACACCACAAAGAAGCAATTCACCAAACCCAAAACTTGGAACATTCTGTAGGACAAATGGTGGGGTTTCGTCAACAAATGGAAGAAAGAGGGGAAGACCATTATGGATTTAATATATATATATTTTTATATATATTAATATAAATATATATTTTTTTGAAACGGAGTCTCCCTCTGTTGCCCAGGCTGGAGTTCAATGGTACAATCACAGCTCACTGCAACCTCCGCCTCCCAGGTTCAAGTGATTTTCCTGTCTCAGCCTCCCAAGTAGCTGGGATTATAGATGTGCACCATCACACTCAGCTAGTTTTGCATTTTTAGTAGAGATGGGGTTTCTCCATATTGGCAGGGCTGGTCTCGAACTCCTGACCTCAGGTGATCCACCCGCCTTGGCCTCCCAAAGTGCTGGGATTACAGGCATGAGCCACTGCACCCAGCCAATAAAAATAAATTTAAGTGACAACCAAAGTGTAATATATAAATCTTGTTTGAATCCTGACTCGATCCAGGATTAAAAGGAATATTTGGAACTATTGGAGCAATTTAAATATGGTTTGGGTATGAGTTAAGGAATTATTACTAATTTTCATAGTTGTAATAAAAGCATCATGATTATGTAAAAAAAAAAGACCATGTGTTAGAAATGCATACTGGTATGTAAATGAAATGAGATTGACAAAATGTTAGTAGTTATTATAGCTGGGTGTTCATTATCGTTCTTTATACTTTTGTATATATATTTGAAATGTTTCATCATAAACAGTAAAAAATGAAAGGGCAGGTCAACTAAAAAGGAAAAAATAGAAATAAGGTGGAAAAAAACTTACCATCCTGGGAATTCTTGTTTACAGAACCAAAAGCTATCTGGTGAAAGTCCTTGACTCCAGCAATCAATCCTCGCAACAAGTCTGGGTTTATCTCATGCACACGTCCTCTGTTTCTCTGCAACACATATGAAGCCCTCAGATGGCTTCCTAGGCACAGGAAGTTGTGGGGGTTTGGTTTTTTTGTTTAAAGCACTAATACTTAGCAACACTATCCTGGGTCATCCATTGCTGCCATCAAACCACAGCTTAATAAGTTAATGGTCAAATTGCCTGTGTCCCACTGATGTTAGTAATAAAGTAGCTAACTAAAATTTTAGATCAATGGAAACCCCTTGCTTGACCATAAACCCTGTGCTTCTGGAGACCATTTGTACTTTTGTCACTGGCAAAAACCAGTGATTGGGCGGGCTCGGTGGCTTACACCTCTAATCGCAGCACTTTGGGGGGCCAAGGCAGGTGGATCACGAGGTCAGGAGATTGAGACCATCCTGGCTAACATGGTGAAACCCCGTCTCTACTAAAAATACAAAAAAGTTAGCTGGGCATGGTGGCGGGTGCCTGTAGTCCCAGCTACTCAGGAGGCTGAGGCAGGAGAATGGCGTGAAGCTGGGAGGTGGAGCTTGCAGTGAGCCGAGATCAGGCCACTGCACTCCAGCCTGAGCGACAGAGCAAGACTCTGTCTCAAAAAATGTGCTATGAAGCACATTTTCTCTCCTTTGTCTAAATGTGAAACTTCAGTAAATTTTGACATTTAATTTTCCAGAGTGTTAATTTAATGAGTAGTTTCTAATTTTAAGCTCCTACCCCATCTTAATGTGAGAATTAGTGAAATAAATAACATAAAACCATTTTTTACTTTTGGGAGTAAAGACAATAAAAACATGAGGTATTGCTGCTTGAATTGGTAAAAACACAATTTAAACCTTGTTTCTTTCAGAAGTTTTGATGTCAAAGACCGTAATAAAACAAACTTAGGAGCTCATTTCAAGAGAATACTGTCCTTGTCCCATACCTGTCCTTACTACTTTGTTTTGTGTGCTATTGTAAGCTCCTTGACTATCTGACCAAGACAGGTTCAGTGATTTGGCTTCATCCATTCTTGTTTAGTGTGCAATGCTATGGCTGCAACATTGTGAAATCAATTCCTATAAGTCACAAAGCAAGAATTTGATGTGAGGGGATGTCCCTCATTTAGAATTCCCTTCTGGATAAGATACTGGAGGTTCCGTTGCAGGGAATTCTTGAGAGAAAACAATAGGAGGATGAGGGATTATGGTTTGGTTTTGTTTTGTTTTCCTAAAGAAAACTATCAATAAAGGAACCGTGTTGACAGTGTAAAGCAGTGCTTCTCTCTGGGGCCAAGGCCAGAGCTGTGGACACCTTGTCCCACTCATCCTCATCCTCTTCCTCTGATAAAGCCCCTGCCAGTGCTGATAAAGTCTTTCTCGTGAGAGCCTAGAGGCCTTAAAGAAAAAAAAAAAAGAAAAAAAAAGTGCTTGAAAGAGAAGGGGACAAAAGAACACCAGTATTAAGAGGATTTTCCAGTGTTTCTGGCAGTTGGTCCAGAAGGATGCCTCCGTTCCTGCTTCTCACCTGCCTCTTCATCACAGGCACCTCCGTGTCACCCGTGGGTGAGTCTCACGTCAAGAACTTGGCACAATGCACTTTTTGTTGTGGCAATTTGCTATAATGTACAGATGATTAAGAACTAGATTCCAGTACCTTAAATGCTAGCTCTAGAATCTTGTAAGAAAAGTCCCTGAAAATAGATTTCCAGAGAATTTCTGTTACATGTTCCATTTAGCCTCTCGCCTGGACATCCAAAATTTCCATGGATCTGCCATATCCCACAGCTTTCACTAGCTAAAGAGTTCCTGGAGTTTGTGTAAAAATAATTCTGTCTTCTTTGTGTTCTAGGCACTTTTATAGTTCCAACTTGAAGAGCAAAAAAAAAAAAAAAAAAAAAAATTTAAAGTTGAGCATAGAGTTTTTCTTTAATGAAGGCAAGGGACTGAAAGCTCTATTGCCATGAGGGGTACAGATCTGGATAAACCAAACTTACCAGTCTTTATATCAGAATATACTTTTTGCACAGATCGAGTGAATCTTAAATTGTCTCCCTCCTCAGACTTGGTGCAAAACTGGCCAATCAGACAAAGAAAAGTTTCAATTCCAGTTACTAACAGATTTCTCTCTTGCCTCTTTTTCTAGTAGAATATCAGTACTAACTGGAAGAGAGGGTGGGGGTGAGATGGAGAGAACCATCCTTCTTGACACTTTTGAGTAGTTCAGTATTTAATTGACCCTGGTCTATTTCTTCATGGTTGCTCTAGCACCTTAAAGGATACACATTAAACAAAAGCTTGTGGCCAGGCACGGTGGCTCACACCTGTAATCCCAGCACTTTGGGAGGCCAAAGTGGGCAGATCACCTGAGGTCAGGAGTTCGAGGCCAGCCTGGCCAATGTGGTGAAACCCCATCTCTACTAAAAATACAGACACACACAAAATTAGATGGGCATGGTGTCGCATGCCTGTAATTCCAACTACTTGGGAGGCTGAGGCGGGAGAACCACTTGAACTCAGGATGTGGAGGTTGCAGTGGGCTGAGATCGAACCACTGCACTTCAGCCTGGGCAACAGAGGGAGACTCCGTCTCAAAAAAATAAAAAATAAAAATTCATTTTAAAAAATGGCGGTTTGAGACCCTCAGGAGACCTGATACCTAAATGTAATGTGGGATCCTGGAACAGAAAGATATAGGTGGAAACTAAGGAAGTCTGCATAAGTGTGGACTTGAGTTAATAAGAAGGTATCAATAGTGGCTCATTAACGCGACAAAGTTACCATGCTAATGTATGGTAAGTGTATGGCTAAAGGTAACACGCCATAACAAGGGAAACTGGGTGTAGGGCATGTGGGATCTCTTTGTCCTATCATCTCAATTATGCTGTAAATCCAAAACTGTTCCAAAAAATATGCTTGAGCTACCTGTCATTAATCACCCCATATCTGCTGCCAATAACTAACCCAAGGTTCTCTCAGAAAGTTGTCCTCCTGAAAAATCTCCACTCCCCTTTCTTCCCACCCTTCTCCTTACCTATTCTGCCTCTAGTACCTCCTGTATTCCCCATTCTTTCCATATACCCTTGCCCTTCCCAGATCTTTTCCTCCAACCCCCAACTCCTCAAGGATGATATATGGCTCAATGCCAGAGGCGTGATAAAGGGGGAACTTTGAGGACTGGAGCTGGTGTTTGCCCTGGAAGTGAGAGAAGAGGGAAAAGAAGGGATGAGAAAGGGGGAAGCAAAGTGGGGTGATGAGGGAGGAGGATGGAAGAGGAGGGAGCAGGAAAGAAGGGGTGCTTCCCAACCAAGCTCAGGCGCAGGGTCGAAAGTGGGCTGTGATTCAGGGGAGGCTGTCTGTTGGATAGGACCTGGAGGGTTGGAGGACTCAACACTGGGGCGAAAGGGTGGGGACACAGACATCGGTTCTCTGCCCTTGGCCCTACATGGTCCTGGTGGAAGACGCCAGAGGAGTGGCTGGCAAGTGGGCATCTTAGCAAACCATTGAGGAGCTTCTGGCAGGCCAGGAAGGAAGCCACAGGGCTGTTCTTTTTGAAGCCCTCCCAATTAGATGTATAGATCAGCAGTTTAGGATGAATGTGTGCAATACCAGATTCTGGGCTTCACACTGAGATTGAAAACAGGATATAAAACCAGCAGCCAGATTATTAGATTGGATTGCTGCCTTAAAAGGGTGTAGAGTGGGATGGGTACATTTAACGTCAGAAAGTATTGGATGGTTAACTTTTAAAAATACGTATGTATTATTTAGTTAGTTACAGAAGGTGGCAGATAAATTTCTCCTCCTCATACCCTATCTCCCCTACAGCAGGGGAGCAAGTGAACTTTTAGCAGACAGCCAAGAAATGACATTTTACTTGAAGGAAAACTTTATAAATAAGGAAATAGTTACTGAGAGAGGTTTAGGAGTTTCTGTAGAAGCCATTAAAAGTTGAGTATCTAGCCATCTCTTATAAAATTAGAGCCAGGGAGAGGAACCAAATATTTCCATGACTCTATAATCACCTGTGAAACTGCTCTGGAAACTTGTTTGTAAGAAAAAGCCACAGCTGGGAGAGCAAAGGAGGAAATTTGTCCCCTTTGAGGAGAGAGAGAATCTGAGGATCTTTCTTCCCCTCAAAGGATTCTGGTCTAGGGCTCAGCTGAGATACATAAGGGGCATTTTAAAGAAAGAGGGTTGTTTCTGCCATTTGCATCCCTGCGTGTTATTTCCAGAAAATGCAATATCCCACTTCTTTCTTACCTTAAATTGTCATATTTTCTTGGAGGCCATTAGCAGTGGGCTATACTTTTCTCTACGTGTGACTGAAGTTTAGAGAGTAAACTTAACTTTGAAATATGGATATGTAGATTGGAAACATCTAAAGTATTTTCTGGACAAGTTAGATTTGGTGATCATGGCCGATTCATATTTAATCGTTGTGCAGTATTTGCGAATACTGAATTCCCTGCCCACGAAATATATTGGCCCTAATGTGAATTCCCTGCCTACGAGATCAGTTACGTAAGTCAACCTCATGTGCATTAAGAAGAATAATATAGTACTCTCTGGCCAATGTTCCTTTCTAGAATTTCTTGGTTTCATAGATTCTTCATAAGGACCATTTACCTATGTTGATTCATTAATTAGTTTCCCTGGAGCTAAGGGGAGCAATGAGAATATTGGAGATATTGGTGTCTTCAGTCATTGAAATGTTGTTTTTCTATTTATTTATTTATTTGTTTGTTTATTTATGAGACAAAGTTTTACTCATGTTGCCCAGGCTGGAATGCAGTGGCATGGTCTTGGCTCACTGAAACCTCTGCCTCCTGAGTTCAAGCGATTCTCCTGCCTCAGCCTCCCAAGAAGTTGGGATTACAGGCACACGCTACCACACCTAGCTAATTTCTGTATTTTTAGTAGAGATGGGGTTTCACCATGTTGACCAGGCTGGTCTCGAACTCCTGACCTCAGGTAATCCACCCACCTCACCCTCCCAAAGTGCTGGGATTACAGGCGTGAGCCACCGCACCCAGTCAAAATGTTGTTTTTCAATGTCTTCATGACATATGATAAAATGTTTTGGTTGAGATATGGTAATTTATGCACTAAACATATATGCCTGAGAAACTTGGCTATATGACAGCTAGGATAATAATGCCATGGTTAACTACGAATACACAAAGTTCATGGTATTTTCAATAAGCTGGTAGAAGATATACCAAAATTCACTTTGAGAATATTTCTGGTAACTACATGCTAGTATACTGTGTATTTCAAAGTAGGTGGCATGTGCCCGAGGCTTTTATCTTTTCAGTGGAATGAGCTTTTACACATTCCTGATCAAGTCAAACTTTCTAATAATGCAAAATTCCACCTATAATCTTTACAAATAGCCAGCCAAATACTTTTTTGAATATTTCCAAGGATTGGAAGCTAACTGCCCTGTGACATAGCCTCTCCCATGACTGGATAGCTGAACTGAAATGTGCTTCCCCATAATTCGTACTTGTTCTTGTAACAGAATAGCTAATTCCTCTTCCACAAGCCTATTCCAGATTTTTAAAAAACGAATATGTGTTTTCTTCAGTCTTCTTTTTTCAAAACCATAATTCTCAACTTCACCAGTAAATAATTTTTAGGACCCCTTCTAAGTCTGGTCAACTTTCTCTGAAGTTTGTCAATTGCTTTCAAAAAATACAGTCTCCAGCAGAGCGCCAAGTTCATGCCTGTAATCCCAGCACTTTGGGAGGCTGAGGCAGGAGGATCACTTGAGCCCAGGAGTTCAAGACCAGCCTGGACAAGATGCCAGAACCCTATCTCTACCAAAAAAAAACCCCCAAAAATTAGCCAGGTGTGGTGGCATACACCTGTGGTCCCAGCTACTTCAGAGGCTGAGTGGGGAGGATCACTTGAGTCCAGGAGGCGGAGGTTGCAGTGAGCCATGATTGTACCACTGCACTCCAGCCTGGGCGACAGAGCCAAACCCTGTCTCAAAAATAATAATAATACAGTTTCCAGGTAATGAACAAAATACTCAGAGTATGGTCTGACTCGCGCAGAGTTCAGTGAGTCTTTAATCCTAACCTCCCTTGGTCTGAACACCTATCCTTCTATCAAATAATTATTATGGATAAAAATACAGTTCAAGCTAACGCTTAATATTAGGTTTGAAATAATTTTGAAAAGGGCATTTATGCAGCATGTTTAAATCAACCTAAGGAACCTTAAACAACTAATTTTTTTGGGACCTTAACTAATTTCTCTTTTGAATTCAAAAATGTCCAAATGCAAGACCAGGAAGGTGGACTTGGGCTGTTGGTGCTGTGATCTGAAACACTCCAGGTACTCTGAGGTATCCTTTTCATTTCCAGCCCTAGACCCTTGTTCTGCTTACATCAGCCTGAATGAGCCCTGGAGGAACACTGACCACCAACTGGATGAGTCTCAAGGTCCTCCTCTATGTGACAACCATGTGGATGGGGAGTGGTACCGCTTCACGGGCATGGCAGGAGATGCCATGCCTACCTTCTGCATACCAGAAAACCACTGTGGAACCCACGCACCTGTCTGGCTTAATGGCAGCCACCCCCTAGAAGGTGACGGTATTGTGCAACGCCAGGCTTGTGCCAGCTTCAATGGGAACTGCTGCCTCTGGAACACCACAGTGGAGGTCAAGGCTTGCCCTGGAGGCTACTATGTGTATCGTCTGACCAAGCCCAGCGTCTGCTTCCACGTCTACTGTGGTCGTGAGTACCTTCCCTGTGCTCTTTTTCTCCACCAACAAGGCCACGGATGGAGTCCAAAAGTGCCAACTATAGGATACGCAGTTACAGTGACAACTATATCTCAATCTGAACAACATTGATGTGGGGCCAAAGATACCTCTAGATTGTGATTTCTGAGATCTCTTCATAGAACTTCTGAAAAATTCCTGAAGAAATAGAAGGGGAAAGGGGCTATGACTTTAATCAGTTATTTTTAATTTTGTCCGAATTCCATTCAAACAACACATTAGAAAATGAAATATTGGGCTAGGTGTGATGGCTCACATCTGTAATCCCAGCACTTTGGGAGGACGAGGCAGGTGGATCACATGGTCAGGAGTTTAAGACCAGCCTGGCCAAGAGACCAGCCTGGCCAATATGGTAAAACACCGTCTCTACTAAAAATACAAAAATTAGCCAGGTGTGGTGGCGTGCACTTGTAACCCCAGCTACTCGGGAGACTGTGGCAGGAGAATTGCTTGAACCCGGGAGGTGGAAGTTGCAGTGAGCCGAAAAATCACGCCATTGCACTCCAGCCTGGGTGACAGAGTGAGACTCCGACCCAAAAAAAAAAAAAAAAGAAAATGAAACATTGATTTAGGTTATCTAAATAGTGGATTTCCAACTTGTTTGAGTATGGAGAACCCCTTTTTAAGATAGATAGATAGATAGATAGATAGATAGATAGATAGATAGATAGATAGACAGACAGATAATCAGCCACCCATATGGTTGGATTGTGTTTGGTGTCCACTGATTTTTAAAAATGATATATAATGGGAAGAAGCTACTTTGTGTCAGCAATACTTCTAATTTCTGTGTTATTAATCCTGTCAAGATCTGTATTCATTTTAAAAATAGAGCACTAGAAGAGTAAGACGTAACACTTTCTTAGTCTACAGCTCATTTATGGTGAGGTTTTAGATTTGCAGACAGTCTGTGGCCACTCAAGGGCCTATGGATCTGAAGTTGGGAATCATTGATCTAGAAGACAGAAGATGCCCTAGTTTGTTGTTTTCCATTGGGTTATATAAACCCTGAACAATGAGAATTCCCTCGATGGTGGCTGGAAACTCATCCCCCAGGCTACACTCATGAGGCTCTCTCAAGGAGAGGGTCAGCTGGATGCAGTGGCTTATGCTTGTAGTGCCAGCTACTTGGGAGGCCAAGGTGGGAGAATTGCTTAAGCCCAGGGGTTTGAGGCCAGCCTGGGCAACATAGGGAGACCACCCCTCCTGCCCCACCGCACCATCTCTAAAATGAATGAAAGCGTGTCCTCTGGTCTCCTCCTCTCATGAAGATAATCTTTATTCTTCCGTAGATTTTTATGACATCTGCGACGAGGACTGCCATGGCAGCTGCTCAGATACCAGCGAGTGCACATGCGCTCCAGGAACTGTGCTAGGCCCTGACAGGCAGACATGCTTTGGTAAGAAACTCATCAAAGGTAGAATCAGGCTATTAGGATTGAAAGGACAAATCAAAAACTCTTCCTGCCTCAGAGCGCCATCATTTTCCCAGTTTGTGTCTCCAAACACTTGGAATGGCGTTTCCTTTTTAGTTTATACCTGGACTGAAAGCCCCACACCAAATTTGTATCACGGTTAGGGACAGTGGAGAATTGTGCCCTCCACTAGACTAGCCACAGGTGGCCATGGCTCACTTGAAATGTGGCTAGTATGACGGAAAAACTGAATTTTAATTTAATTTAATTTTAATTTTAAAACCGATGTTTGGCCACGCACGGTGGCTCACGCCTGTAATCCTAGCGCTTTGGGAGGCTGAGGCTGGCAGATGGCTTGAGCCCAGGAGTTCAAGACCACCCTGGGCAACAAAGAAAAACCTCATCTCTACAAAAAATATGAAAATTATCTGGGTATGATGGCATGTATCCATAGTCCCAGCTCCTCAGGAGGCTGAGGTGGGAGGATCACTTGAACTTGGGAGTTCAAGGTTACAGTAAGCCATGACACCACTGCTCTCTAGCCTGGGTGACAGAGCGAGACTCTGTTTCTAATAATAATAATAATAATAATAATACTATCTTTAATATTGGTTATATATAAAAGTGAAAATATTTTGCATATAATTGGGTTATATAAAATATTCTTAAAATTAATTTCACCAGTTTCTTTTTTAAAAATTTTAATGTGACTACTAAAAAATTTTAAATATGTAATTTGCTTTATATTTCTGTTGGACAGCACTGGTTTAGAATTATCTAAGGACTTACTCCTCTAGCTTCACTGATATAATTTTGGTCATTCTGAGTAGCAAGAAAGATGAGTCAGATTATCCATAGGAAATCCAGAGTTGTTGAATTGTATACTATGTTGTCTATAACTAGAAGAGAACAGAGATGAAAACCCCAAGATTGAATATCATCTCTCTTTCTCTGTAATGTTATGAAGGTTTTGGATTCAGACTCAAATAGATTTAAAACAAGTCTAGAGAGAAAGGGGAAGATTGCCCTACCTGGTCCCCCAAGAAGAACAGTAACAGGTCAGGATTGAGGCAGGAGATTAAGGTGAAAGGAGCATAAAAGGCTTATTGGTATTTGTTTGTTTGTTTGTTTTTGAGACAGGATCTTGATCTGTCACCCAGACTGGAGTGCAGTGGTGTGATCTCAGCTTATTGCAGCTTCGACATCCTGGGCCCAAGTGCTTCTTGTTGTAGAAAAGCTTTTGCTCTTCAGTCTCCTAAATGAGCCAGGGGCAATGGCTCATGCCTGTAATCCCAGTGCTTTGGGAGGAGGAAGCAAGAGGATTGCTTGAGACCAGGAGTTTAAGGCTAGCTTGGGCAACATAGTTAGACCCCATCTCTATAAAATAAAAAATAAATTAGCCAGGCATGGTGGCAGCCTTCCAAAGTAGCTGAAGTTTCAGCTGAGGCAGGTGGATTGCTTGAGCCCAGGAATTTAAGGCTGCTGTCAGCTCCAATTGCATCACTGCACTCCAGCCTGGGCAGAAGAGCAAGACCCTGTCTAAAAAAAAAAAAAAATCATAAATACATCAATAAATAAAACCTCCTAAATGAACCCCACTGACCATCCTGTGGAGCAGGTTTCAGCCCTGCCATAGGAGTTGTTAGGGGTCTGGTGTGGTTGATTCTGAGTATGTGATTTAATGCTAAATGGCTTGGGGTAGGGGCAATAGTGGTTCCTGAAGTCTCTCCCTACCCTCATGTATTCCTGTTCAAAAATATTTGGCTTTATTTTAAACCAGGAGTTGTTTATGCATTTCTTTGCTTTTGTTTTAATACAACTCTTGAAGAGGTAATACATTTAAATGGTTCTCAAATTAAACAACATGAAAAAGTATACAGCAGGCTGTCAACTCTCAGTCACCCTCTTGCCCCATTTCCCTCTTCCTCAACTCCATCCCAAGGAAACGGCTGTATTATTTTCTTATATGTGCTTCCAGGGTTTCTACAGTCAGATTTTAAAATGCAAATATATATATGTGTATTAGCCTGTTCTCATGCTGCTAGTAAAGGCATACCCAAGCCTAGATTTATAAAGGAAATTTACAAAGGAAAGAAGTGTAATTGACTCACAGTTCCACATTGCCGGGGAGGCCTCACAATCATGGCAGAAGATGAGGAGAAGCAAAGTCACATCTTACATGGCAGCAGGCAGGAGAGCATGCGTAGGGGAATTCCCATTTATAAAACCATTGGATCTCGTGAGACTTACTCACTACCAAGAGAACAGTGTGGGGGAAACTGCACCCATGATTCAATTGTCTCCACCTGGCCCCACCCTTGACACGTGGGGATTATTACAATTCAGGGTGAGATTTGGGTGCAGACAGCCAAATCATATCAATATGTTTACTTATTGGCCATTTTTAAACATCAAAGGTAGCGTATCGTTCACTTCTCTTCCTTAATTTATCTTAGACAATCTTTTTCTATCAAAGCCCCAAGTTCCTTTGAGGGATCTGTGGGACTTCAGGGAGGTGAATCCTCTGAAACTGTAGACAGTGTTTTGTGTTTGTGAGCATGTGTCAATTTTCCTTTAGTTTTTATTTAAAAGTAATAATTTTATTTATTTTAAATTACATAATTTGTTCAGGCAGCATACAAGAAAATAATATAACAGACCCTCATGTACCTAGATTTAACTAGAGTTAAGTTTTGCTTCCTTTTTTTCTTTTTTTTGAGATAGAGTTTCACTCTTTTGCCCAGGCTGGAGTGCAATGGCACCATCTCAACTCACTGCAACCTCCACCTCCTGGGTTCAAGTGATTCTCCTGCCTCAGCCTCCAGAGTAGCTAGGATTACAGGTGCCCACCACCACGCCCGGCTAAATTTTTTGCATTTTTAGTAGAGACAGGGTTTCACCATGTTGGCCAGGCTGGTCTTGAGCTCCTGACCTCAGGTGATCCACCCGCCTTGGCCTCCCAAAGTGCTGGGATTACAGGCGTGAGCCACCGTGCCCAGCCCTCTTTTTCTTTTAATTTAAATAAAATTTTGTAAATACAATAAAGCCATCCTACCCCATCCTGCTTTCTTCTCTCACCCTCCAGCGGTAATGACTGTTTTGAAGTTAGCATGTGTTCTTCTGGTCCCATTTTAATGCTTTTATTATTTATGTATATACCCATAACAGTAGATAGCATTGTTTTGTGTGTTCTTAGAATTAACATAAAAATGGTACCTTCCCCAATGTGTGAGATTTTCTCTAGCAGGTACCCGTAAGAATGGAATTGCTGGGGCACAGAGTGTCTTCACTGGCTATAAACAATAAACCCCCAAATAATGATGGCTTTAAAAAGTAGAAGTTTATTTCTCTCTCATAAGATAAGCAGTCCAGGCTTGGAATGGAGGCTTCTAAGGGACCTACCCAAGCATGGGTGTCACCATGTCCACATCCGGGAAGGCTGTGAGCCTCTAACCGTCTACTTTCCAGGCAGTATAATGAGGAAAGGGAAAGAAGGGGCCCTGATAAAGATTCTTAATATTATCAACTACATTTTGCATTTCTACAAGTTCTGTTTGTTTGTTTTCAGTTCTGCCTTGTCGTTTTACACACTTCTTTTATTTTGCTTATTATCCTTTCTTTTATCTTTTTACTAATTCTTTAAATACTTGTATTATGGACTTTTCTGGATAATTCTGTTATCTCCAGTTCAAAGCCTCCAAAGATCACGCCAACGCTGTCTCACAGTGGATTGTTCCTCATTTAGTGTCTTGTGGCAAACCATCTTCTGTTGTAGTTGTAGGACACCACTCTTGTCATCTGGTATCTTTGTTTAGTGTGGCTATAAAGGAATACCTGAGGCTGGGTAATTTATAAACCAAATGGGTTTATTTGGTTTATGGTGCTGCTGGCTGGGAGACTGAGCATCTGGGGAGGGCCTCAGGCTGCTTCCACTCATGGAGGAAGGTGAAGGGTGCTGGCATGTGCAGAGATCTCATGGCAAGACAGGAAGTGAGAGTGAGAAGGGGGAGGTGGCAGGCTCCTTTTAAACATGCTGAAACTAATCTAATAGAGCAAGAACTCACTCATTACTGCAAAGATAGCACCAAGCCATTCACAGGGGACCTGCCTCCAAGACCCGAACACCTCCCATTAGGCCTCACCTCCAACACTGAGATCAAATCTCAATATGAGGCCAGGAATGGAGGCTCATGTCTGTAATCCCAGCAGTTTGGGAGGCCGAGGCAGTTGGATCACTTGAAGTCAGGAGTTCATGACCAGCCTGACCAACATGGTAAAGCCCCATTTCCACCAAAAATACAAAAATTAGCTGGGCGTGGTGGCGCGTACCTGTAATCCCAGCTACTCGGAAGGCTGAGGCGGGAGAATCGCTTGAAACCTGGAGGCGGAGGTTGCGGTGAGGTGAGATCATGCCACTCCACTCCAGTCTGGGTGACAGAGACTCTGTCCCAAAAAAAAAAGAAAAATCTCACTATGAGATTTGGAGGGGTCAAATATCCAAACCACAGCACCTGGTTTGAGGAGGTTTTACACAGAGCACTTTTTCAAATGCTTCTGTTGGCATCACAGATTCTTTATCAGACCAGGCCAAATTTTCCATCAATTTCTCAGCTTCAAGATTCCCCATACCGTGTGGGAAGTGTAAAACCATACTTGAGCCATGGTAGAGCCCTGGCTTGGGGTTTCCATTGGTTGTGAAGGCTTTTCTTTCTCCTAGAGCCTTGGGCGGAGTTTCCTTATTGTTTCCCTGGGCCGCTGGGCAAAGTTCTCCCCATCTCATTGAGGGGATACATTTTCTGGGGTTTAGACTTAAGCAGGGTTTCAGTCACAGCTTATCTCCTCTCCTGGGGCCAAGGTCATGACTCCTGTCACCGCATGGGTGTTTAAACCTCAGTCCATGGTTTATGTCCTATCTAGGCCTGTTATTCCTGAGGACCATGACAAATTTAGCTCCCAAGCTTCCCTTTCCTTGTTTGTAGAAAGAAAGGCATAGACATTTTCTGCCAACTGTGCATTTTTTTACAGCAAGAGTCCATACCCTCCATCAGATTCTTAAAAAGATTAGCAACCATTGCTTAAGTACAGTGTGAGAATATACTAATTTAAAAAACAGATTTTGAGGGCAATAGTTCATATTATAAAAGAAAATTGCCTTACAAAATATTTTATCAGCTATTTCCTTCTGTAATGTAAGCTCCTCTCATGACTTAAAACAATTTACTTTATAAGTTTGTATTTATTTAGCAACTTCTCAGGAACTCATTAAAGAAAGTGAAATTCACCAATACAAATAAGTAGGTGTACCCAGGACACAAAAGGAACTTCATTTTCCCATTGTTTTTCCCTGAAGAGAAGGTAATTGGCAAGCAGTTAGGTACCTTCCACTCAGTAAAGGGCAGATGAACCAATAACATGGTTAAGGAGATCAGGTAGATGGGAGCGATGATAGTGGATCAGAGGGGGAGCTGGGTGGTGGAAAGTCCATCAACAGGATCTGAAAAGATGTGGAAACTCTGCCCAGGGGTTTGGGAAAGGCTGAATCACTCAGCAGTATAGAAACAGTGTGGTTTCTCTTCTGCAGATGAAAATGAATGTGAGCAAAACAATGGTGGCTGCAGTGAGATCTGTGTGAACCTCAAAAACTCCTACCGCTGTGAGTGTGGGGTTGGCCGTGTGCTGAGAAGTGATGGCAAGACTTGTGAAGGTGAGAATGGGCAAGAAGGGACCCAAATCAAGAGCCAAAGGAAGCCACTGGCTTATTCTCTGATGTTCAGGAAACTGCCTTAGTGTCCGAAGAGAGCAACAGTTTGGCTGTGCAAAGAAACGACAAAGGGGTTCATCAACATTGAGAATACTCACACTGTGGACAGAATTCAGTTTTGATTTTGTCTCTAAGATTTAACAGGAGCGAATTTTGCAAGAGGCAGAAAGCCACATTTTTATACGAGAAATAAAAATAGGGTGTTCTGGCCAGGTGCAGTGGCTCATGCCTGAAATCACAGCACTTTGGGAGGCTGGAGTGGGAGGATCACTTGAGGCCAGGAGTTTGAAAGACCAGCCTGGGCAACATAGTAAGACACTATCTCTACAAAAAATTAAAAAATAAAAATTAGCTGGGTATGGTGGTGCATGCTTGTAGTCTCAGCCACTCAGAGGACTGAGGATTACTTGAGCCCAAGAGTTTGAGGCTGCATTAAGCTATGATTGCGCCACTGCACTCCAGCCTGGGCAACAGAGAGAAAATATCTCAAAAAAAACAAAAAAAGGAGGGGGGATATTCGGTATTTCTCAAACTTTAATGTGCCCATGAATCACTTAGGATCGTGTCAAAATGCAGATTCTGATTTAGTAGGTCTGAGATCAGGTCAATATATTGCATTTTTAAAGACGTTCTAGGAGTCACCTATGCTGCTGGTCCAAGGAGCACACCTGGACTAGCCAGGTAATAGAGGCAGTAGCATAACCACTGGCCGACAGCTGTGTTTCCCAAACTTCCCTGCTGCTGAGAAGCACCTGGGGCTTTTACACCCAGCCCCTCCGAGACCCTCTCCTGCAGCCTCAGCTTCAGAGGAGCTAAGATGGGGCCTTAGAGTTTGTGTTTTCAACAAGTTCCACGGGTGACTTTTATCATCTTGGAAGTTTAAGCCATTTCCTCTCCTCCCCATATGCTTTGTGTTTATGGGAGATGAATACAGTTTGGGGGGATAAATAAAGTAATCTATTTAATTTTACTTTTAGATCTGTTTTTAATAGCAGACATATTATAGGACTTTATACATTTATATAACTAATAACAAAAAAGAATTCATAATATATATCAAATAATTGAAATGGAAATTGCCTACCATTATTATATGAAACTTAGATAATATCCCTTCTCTAAGGCACATTTACCCTTGCAAATTGTCACAGCTAAAATTCGCCAGGCACGGTGGCTCATGCCTGTAATCCCAGTACTTTGGGAGACTGAGGTGGGTGGATCACTTGAGGTCAAGAGTTGGTGATCAGCCTGGCCAACATGGTAAAACCCCATCTCTACTAAAAATTCAAAAATTAGTTAGGTGTGATGGTGGGCGCCTGTAATCCCAACTACTCAGGAGGCTGAGGCACCAGAATCACTTGAACCTGGGAGGCAGAGGTTGCAGTGAGCTGAGATAGCGCCACTGCACTCCAGTCTGGGCAACAAAGAGAAACTCCATCTTAAAAAAAAGAAAAAAAAATTCCATCACTTCTACTTTAATAAGTCAGAGTTCTCATGACACCTTGCAGATTATATGGAGAGATAAATGGTATAATTGTTATTATTTACAAAGGATATATATTTGTTCCTTAGGATAATTAAATTTGTGGAATAATAGAGCTGTGGTACTACTTACAAAAGTTCACTTTATTCTAGCTATATTCAAAATAATAAAATACTACGCCAAAGGGAAAAATTATGGCTAGTGTCCATATTTTATTTCATGCAACAAACTTTGCATTATTAACTGAGAGACCATTAACTGGAATATTAAATTACTGTTCCTTATAATAAGACTAAATGTATTTTAAACTGTAGGGGTAATATCCAGAGTCCTCCTTAAATCTTAATTATTTTATGTATGAATCTTTGCATATTTGAATGTTAATAAAATGTTCCATAAAAACATTTGTAATTATTTATGAGTACTTTATTGGAAATATTGCAGTTAATCCTGCCTCATATAATCTTAAAACCTAATAACCATAACTGAAAAAATATTTTAGCAGAAGATGAAAATTAAGTGTGAGTTATACTTTAGGATTAATATTCCTGTTTATAACCCTTAAGTTTTATTGATAGTCCAAACATATATGTTTCTTTAGCTAAGCTATTTGATAATTATATGTTCATTTTTTTTTTTAATGGCCTTTTTAATTTTTTTTTTTAGATTCAGGGGGTACATGCACAGGTTTGTTACATGGAGACATTGCTTAATGCTGGGGTTTGGGTTTCTATTGAGCCTGTCACCCAAATAGTGAATATAGTACCCAATAGGTAGTTTTTCAACCCTCACCCTGCTCCCTCCTCCCACCTTTTGGAGTTCCCAGTTTCTTTTTTTTTTTTTTCTTTTGAGACAAGGTCTCACTCTGTCACCCAGGCTAAAGTACAGTGGTGCCATCTTGGTTCACCGTAGCTTCTGCCTCCCTGAGCTCAGGTGATCCTCCCACCTCAGCCTCTGGAGAAGCTGGGACTATAGGCATGCACCACCACGCCAAGCTAATTTTTGTAGAAACAGGGTTTCACCATGTTGGCCAGGCTGCTCTCGAACTCCTGAGCTCAAGCAATCCACCTGCCTTGGTTTCCCAAAGTGCTGAGGTTCCAGGTGTGAGCCACTGTGCCAGGCTCCCTGTGTCTATTTTTATATAGTTTATATTTGTCCCATCTTTATGCTTGTGTGTACCCATTGTTTAGCTCCCACTTGCAAGTGAGAACATGCAGTATTTTTCTGTTCCTGCATTAATTCAGCTCTTGTTAGTTTTTAAGTAATTTTTATTTTTTGTTTTACTTATTATTTATTTATTTATTTATTTATTTATTTATTATTATTTTTAAGACAGAGTCTCACTTTGTTGCCCAAGCTAGAGTGCAGTGGGGCGATCTCAGCTCACTGCAACTTCTGCCTCCCAGGTCAAGTGATTCTCCTCCCTCAACTTCCTGAGTAGCTGGGATTACAGGTGCCTGCCACCATGCCCAGCTAATTTTTAGTAGAGACGGGGTTTCACCATGTTGGCCAGGCTAGTTTTGAACTCCTAAGCTCACACAGTCCACCTGTCTTGACCTCCCAAAGTGCTGGATTACAGGTGTGAGCTACCACACCTGCCTGTTTTGTTTTATCACAAAAGTGTAGAAGAAAATACAGAGGAGCAAGAGAAAAATAATTAAAATGACCCACAATCCATTTGCCAGACATAGCCATTCTAAACATTTTGGTATATCTTCCTGAGAGACTTAAATATTTTAAGCTAATTTAAATTTTCAGTTTCTTTTATATTTTGTATTTTTAGACCTGGAAATATCCTGAGTGAACATTTAGTACAACCTCTTCATTTTACAGATATTGAAATTGTGACTCAGAGAAATAAAATGACTTAAGGAAGGTAATTTTTAAGGAAAAAAAGTGCTATTAATGTTCATTTTAACATCTTACAACATATTTTTGTGCTTTCTTCTATAGTATTATATATAATCTTCAGCCATTTCAAAAGCCCTTAGGTATGCTTTTATCCTTCAAAAATATACAGATGTATAATGGCCAGGCATGGTGGCTCACACCTGTAATTCCAGCACTTTGGGAGGCCAAGATGGGCGAATCACGAGGTCAGGAGATTGAGACCATCCTGGCTAACACGGTGAAACCCCGTCTCTACTAAAAATACAAAAAACAAACAAACAAAAAATACAGATGTATAAACTAGTATTACTTAATCTCTTTTAAGTGTTGCAAAGAGTAATTCATTGCCATATTTTTCTCTATATACATTTCACAAAAACTAATTCATCCTAAGTTAATTTATTGATGTTCCAAATAACTGCTTTTTAAAAACTATTATTGAACTGAGAGAGTTATTGCTATAACTGGAAATCAGCTTTTATCTTTCCCTGAGCATCTCAGATGTTTTGAAAACATTCCCTTTCTTTATTTTAACCTAGAACAGGGGTCAACAAATTTTTCTCCAAAGGTCAGATGGTAAATACTTTAGGCTTTGTGGACCATACAGAATCTGTAGAAACTACTCAACTCTGTTCTTGTAGTGAGAAAGCAGCCATGCAGGTAAATGAATGCACACGGCTATGTGCCAATAAAACTTTATTTGTAATAATGTGTAGCAGATTAGAATTTGACAACCTCTGACCTAGAAGATAATGTCCAAGTCCCACAAAGGTCATTTTTTTTTCTCTGTTAAACATGAAATCACCTTATAGATTCTTCAGTTTTCAATGGAATATTTTTCCTTTTTGTCCATTGCCTTGAGTTTGCTTTTTGAACATGCAAAACATTAAAAAGGGAAAATTAAACAAAACCATCTCATAAGAGGACAATCACCAAGAATTTCGTTGAATGGACTCAGCATGTTGTCCAGGCCTCATTTTTATAGTTTGCTGTCAGCCCAAAGCCCTTTACCCCCAGTGCTCTTGTCCTAGATATTTGAGAAGAGGGCCAGGTGACCCAGCCAGTCCACAATAAGTCAGATCTATCCAGCCAATTCAGGTGAATTTGTATTCTGTCAGTCTCTTTTATGTCAATAATGCTCTATAAAATGTCAAATTGGTTGGATTAAATGTTACAGCAAATAAGAAATCACTTTTGGGTCCTAGTCCTAAAAACTCATAACCCCCAGCTAACCATAAGAAAAACATCAGACAAACCCAAACTGAAGGACATGCTACAAAATTCCTGACCAGCTTAATTGGGTAGAGTTACCGATATTGGAAGATTGCTCTTTGTAGCTATGATATTTCATAAACATTCTTTGAGGTCTTGCCCGAATGTCTCAGTCACTAGGTTAGGCACCAGGGATGCTGCCATAAGTTAAGTATAATCCCTGATGCAAAGTGCCAGAATTCTAGGGGTAGAGGGTTGCAAGATGATTCCCTTTTCTGTTGGCTTCTACTGCAGACATTGAAGGATGCCACAATAACAATGGTGGCTGCAGCCACTCTTGCCTTGGATCTGAGAAAGGCTACCAGTGTGAATGTCCCCGGGGCCTGGTGCTGTCTGAGGATAACCACACTTGCCAAGGTAGTACATGGGGCGGAACGGGGGCTTGTCTCTACTCTGATTACACTTCTTCCTCTCCCAAAGCTCTTTGTCTTCCTCCCCCAAGTGTGTCAGGGTTCTCATCTTTTAGAACAATGGGTCTTTGAGCAGTGTATATTGCTGAATCATCACTCTGGAATCATTTAACAGAGAAGATCTCTAAGAAAGGATTACCAGAAAGTTAACTTTCCTTTGCTGTTTATCTTTGGTTTTTGACTACTTTCTATGGTTAGTTGTATGACTAATACTCAATATGGAAGCATAAGTCATTGATACAGCTCCTCTCTTTTCTAACAGGGTTTGAAACTAAGTGAACTCAGTTGAAAGCCCTGAGGAACATATTCCTCTCCCTACACTTAGGATATGAGGGTTAACAATCCTCTGATAATTATTTTCTGGAAATCTAATTTTGTTTTTTTTTTTGGCAGAGTCTCACTCTGTTGCTCAGATGGAGTGCAGTGATGTGATTTCAGCTCACTGCAACCTCCACCTCCTAGGTTCAAGCAATTCTCCTTCCTCAGCCTCCTGAGTAGCTGGGATTACAGGCTTGTGCCACCATGCCTGGCTAATTTTTGTGTTTTTAGTAGAGGTGGGGTTTCACCATATTGGCCAGGCTGGTCTCGAACTCCTGACCTCAAGTGAGCCGCCCTCCTCGGCTTCCCAAAGTGCTGGGATTACAGGCACGAGCCACCGTGCCTGGCCTGGAAATCTAGTTCCTGATGTCCAGAATATTCATCCATTCATCTACCAAATATGTAAGGGGCACCTGTGTCTGATTTCTTTGCACCACTACACCATCGTTATGATGTGTCTTCATGTATTGGACGCTGACAGAACTCAAGTATTCTTTTCAGGATATTTGCAGAGTCTAGAGAAGAACCTGGGAATGCTAAGGAAAAGCAATCTTTTTTATATTAAGCTAAAGTGGTGAAATTTATAGTCAGAGTTTATGGTTTCCTGAGCAATGCAAGGACAATTTGGAAGGCTTTCCCAAGTGCGCTAACACTGTTTTTATTGTCTCTGTTTTACTAGGCAGTAATTAATGGTAAAGTCACAGCAGTATCGTTATGTACCTTAGGCCTATATCAAAGCAGCACTTTTTCTGTATTGCCAATAAACTGTGTTTGTGCTGAAAGTTAATCTCTTAGGTGTTTCAGTTCACAGAGTTATGCTGGCTACACTTTGAAACCAATGTTTGGTGAATTGAAAGTCGAACCTGGTATTTCCTAATTCGGGGAACCATATATTTGAGGAACATTATTTCACCATAATCTTGGGAGTTAGGAATAGTGGTTTTATTCACCAACTTGTTTTCAGCCCCTCTGATTTCCTTGGGGATGGAACAAAAAACTCAGGTTGTGTGAGGGTGAAATTATTTCTCCTAAAAGCCTTCCTCTCGATTCAGGTTTCCTGGCTCTAACAGTGGCCTCTTTTCTCTGCAGTCCCTGTGTTGTGCAAATCAAATGCCATTGAAGTGAGCATCCCCAGGGAGCTGGTTGGTGGCCTGGAGCTCTTCCTGACCAACACCTCCTGCCGAGGAGTGTCCAACGGCACCCATGTCAACATCCTCTTCTCTCTCAAGACGTGTGGTACAGTGGTCGATGTAGGTTCCTCCTGGAGGGCACTCGGGGAATGGCCAAAAGCCGGTTATTTGGGAGGTGGTGGACAGAGGTATGCCACGTGGCTTGTGTCATAGATGAGGTATTTACGCACAAAAGATTTGAGCTCAAAACATCTTATGTCATTCATTTAACCAACACGTTCTTGAGCATCTGCTGTGGTCCTGGCACTATGAAGAATTCTGCTATTCCTGTTTTCAAATACCCCATCTCTCCAGTATGCGCAGACATTTTCCTGAATGCATCAGTACCAGTGGTACTGGAAGGCTGGCTACATCCCCTCTGACCAACTATTTTATTTGAAGAAAGTAACTAATACAGATGATGGTTCATTTATGGTGGAGAGTTCAAGTATTGAACCAGGTTGAGTGAAAAGGTTTATATTTTCATCCCAAAATCTGCACACAGCCCTGTGCTGGAGAGTTAGACATGTATGAAGTCCTGCCTTTTAGGAACTTGCACAGCAAAATTGAGATGATGACACAGAAAACGTAAGGAAAGGATGAACAGTGAGATGGATGACAGGTCCTGTAGGAGTCCAGTCAAGGGACAAACACAGGAGCAGTCAAGACAAGTGGGACTTGGATCCAAGTGGAAGTGTGTGTGTGGTTTACACAGCAGAGAGGAAAAGAAAGGGCCTTTCAGATGGGAAACAAGTGAGCTAGTCTCTGAGAGGGGATATGCAGGCCTGTGCGGAGGCATGTGGAGAGTGCAGCCGGACTGGCCGGGAATTCCTACTGGAAAATGAAACCGGAAAAGTAGATGGGGCGGGCTGAGCTTCCAAAGGCCTGCCTTGTGTGCTAGGGTGAGCCGTCTGGATTTGATCCCACAGAAATGGGTTTAGGCAGGGACTGTGGTGATGAATGCCATGATCTGACAGCAGCTTGCAAGATGGATAGAGCAGAGGGGGCCTGCATGTGGATCAGCACGGAGGCCTTTGCCATCATTTGGTTAAATGAATATTTATTTATGACTCTAATTAAATGAAAATCAGAAAGCTGATTCGACTTGCAGTGAGACAAGTGGGGGATATCCAAGGAGCAGGTGGTCCCACTTGAGGCAAGTTATGTTGATCATATCGGTGGATAATCAAATGGACATGCCGCATGGTAGCTTGGCGCTATTCTCCAGTGTACGGCAGAGCAGAGGAATCTGGAGATAAAGAGCTGAAGACCATCCGGTGAATGCCACAGCCGAAATTCTGAGTGTGCAAGAGTTCACACAAGGTCATGCTGCCGCCGCATCACCAGGTCTAAAATTCCTGAAAGAAACATAACGGGCGGAAGCTGTCCTTTTCTAAAATACCAGAGCTTTGGATTCGCTGATTCTGCAGAGATCGGGTATTATGAGTAATACTCTAAAGGAATGTGTGGGGCTGCCCAAGAAGTAGTGTGTAAAACTCTTTTTTTTTTTCTTTTTTTTTTGAGATGGAGTTTTGCTCTTATTGCCCAGGCTGGCAATGGAACAATCTTGACTCACTGCAACTTCTGCCTCCTGGGTTCAAGCGATTCTTCTGCCTCAGCCTCCCAAGTAGCTGGGATTATAGGCACCTGCCACCACGCCCGGTTGATTTTTGTATTTTTGTTGAGACGAGATTTCACCATGTTGGTCAGGCTGGTCTTGAACTCCTGACCTCAGGTGATCCACCCGCCTCAGACCCCCAAAGTGCTGGGATTACAGGTGTAAGCCACTGCACCCAGCCTTTTTTTTTTTTTTGGGGTATTATTTTCTTATTTATTAAAAAGTACACAGCAAAGAGTTAGGCTGTATAATACCAATAGTTAGGATATAAAGCCATGTATAATAATGGGCTAATTAGGAGGTAGAGAGAAGCTCTAAATGCGAGCCATGTGAGTTTAAGTTACAGTTGATTCTTGTTATTCACAGTAGTTATGTTCTACCAAGCTGCCACAAGCAATGAATTAGGTAATACGGAAGCTAATTTCTTTAGCAATTAAGCATTGCTCCTAGGGGAAACACTGGGTTAGGTTCTTGTAATCCTCTGGTTACAACATTTTTGTTAACCAATCAGTTAACAGTCTTGTTCTGTGTGTGTTTCCGTTTAAAGATACCTTATTTAATATGCATTATAGATTCATTAACATTGCACTCATGGCCAGCAGCACTGCAACTCATATCTGGAGTTTATCAAACACCTATTTTCCCATTTTCCCTGTAAGGCTGTCATAGCCTCCTTGTGCTTGGGATCACTAGACAGCCCATCTGCACTGCATGTGTGGGTGCCTTTCAACAGCAACATTGCTCACAAAACACAAACATGCAAAAGCATGCCGTTCTGTAGATCACAAAAAGGATCCTGGTTTACAGTATGAGAGCTAAAACAAGAAGGCAGTGGTGCCTTGTTGGACCTCAGCTGGGAATGTGCCACTGTGCACATTCTGAGAATAACCTCAGAAGCATAGTGAGTACTGATTTTGGGGTTATAAATAAATGTTAGCTGCTAGATGAATTCGCACATACTAAACGCACGAATAATGGGCATCAACTGTACATGGTAAACCTGGGGGGACTTCATAGAAGAGATGAGTTTGAGTGAGGCATTGAAGGATGGGTAAATGAAGATGGGAATGATGGATGAGGAGAGATGTCAGCCACTAATGAGTTCTAGTCTCATCATCACACTCGTCCCTTTCTGACCACAGATCATTTCTTTTTTTTTTTTTTTTTTTTTTTTTTGAGACGGAGTTTCACTCTGTTGCCCAGGCTGGAGTCCAGTGGCGCAATCTCAGCTCATCACAACCTCTACCTCCCAGGTTCAAGCAATTCACCTGCCTCAGCTTCCCAAGTAGCTGGGACTATAGGTGTGTGCCACCACGCTCAGCTAATTTTTATATTTTTAGTAGAGACAAGGTTCCACCATGTTGATCAGGCTGGTCTTGAGCTCCTGACCTCATGATCCACCCGCCTCGGCCTCCTGAAGTGCTGGGATTACAGGCATGAGCCACCGTGCCCAGCCGACCACAGATCATTTCTTACTCTTGTATACCATAGTCTTTGAAGCTGAGTTTTATTTTTATTTTTATTTTAAGCTCAGGGGTACATGTGCAGCATGTGCAGGTTTGTTACATAGGTAAATGTGTGTCGTGGGGGTTGGTTATACAAATTATTTCATCACCCAGGTATTAAGCCTACTGCCTGTTAGTTATATTTCCTGCTTCTCTCCCTCCTCCTACCTTCCACTCTCTGATAGGCCCCAGTGTGTGCTGTTCCCCACTATGTGTCAGTGTGTTCTCATCATTTAGCTCCCACTTATAAGTGAGAACATATGGTATTTGGTTTTCTGTTCCTGTGTTAGTTGGCTAAGGATAATGGCCTTCAGCTCCATCCACGTCCCTGCAAAGGACATGATCTCATTCTTTTTTTTGTGGCTACAAGTATTCTTTGGTGTATATGTACCACATTTTCTTTATCCAGCCTATCATTGATGGGCATTTAGTTGGATTCCATGTCTTTGCTATTGTGAATAGTGCTGCAGTAAACATACACGTGCATTGCATGTGTCTTTATAATAGGACGATTTATAATCTTTTGGGTATATACCCAGTAATGGCATTGCTGGGTCAAAGGGTAGGTCTGTCTTTGGGTCTTTGAGGAATCACCACACGGTCTTCCACAATGGTTGAACTAATTTACACTCCCAACAACAGTGTAAAAACATTCCTTTTTCTCCACAACATCACCAGCATGTTATTTCTTGACTTTTACTAATAGCCATTCTGACTGGTGTCAGATGATATCTCATTGTGGTTTTGATTTGCATTTCTGTAATAATCAGTGATGTTGAGCTTTTTTTTCATATGTTTGTTGGCCACATGTATGTCTCCTTTTGAGAAGTGTCTGCTCATGTCCTTTTCCACTTTTTAATGTTTTTTTCCTTATAAATTTAAGTTTCTTGTAGATGCTGGATATTAGACCTTCATCAGAGAAAAAAAAATTTTCTCCCATTCTGTAGGTTGTCTGTTCTCTCTGATGATAGCTTCTTTTGCTGTGCAGAAGCTCTTTAATTTAATTAGATCCCATTTGTCAATGTTTGCTTTTATTGCAATTGCTTTTGACATCTTCATCATGAAATCTTTGCTTGTGCCTATGTCTCAAATGGTACTGCCTCGGTTGTCTTCCAGGATTTTTATAGTTTTGGGTTTTACATTTAAGTTTTTTTTTTTTTTTTTACTTTATGAAAATACTGAGTTTTATTTTATGTGTATCTTTTTGTCTCTCCACCATTTCCATGTCCAACCACTGCTACTACTATGTCCTATCATAACATTCCACACGTGCTTAAACCCAAGTAAAGGGTGGAGTTCCATCTTTGAAAACTAAACAGGTATTTTGGACAACACATTCTTGGCAATGGAACCTGGACAACATTTATCAAACATAGTAGGGAAAGTTCTCACTCTGCATTACAAAAAGGACAGCCAGATATCAACTGTTACAGAAACGAAATAAGATGGAAAATTTTTAACAAATTGTTTAAACTATTTTTTTAAAGAGACTTCCTCCATTGCCAGAGATCTTGAATAGCCTCCTGGTCAGTCATCTGGAAGCAATTCTTCACATAATTGATGAACTTGGCTTCCACTTTGGGAAGAGAATCACGTTTTTCTATACTTGCTTGCATTTTTGCTGTAATGTCTTTTACAGAACTAGGTCCTTTTGGTGTTTTAGGAGTTTTTCTGTTTTTTTGAAGGGTTCTTGTCCTTTTGATCTTGGTGTTGATGATGGTTTTGAGTCTTTTCCATTCTGATTTAAGTTTTGTGCATTTTTGGCTGGAGTATCTTGTATAGATTTCTTCACTTTTTCTTCAGCTTCCTCATCATCTTCATCATCATCATCATCTTCATCATCATCTTCATCAGCAGCAAGTTTTACTTTTTTCTGTGGAACCTTGCTACTACCTCCAGGGGCAGACTGCTTTCCAGATATACTTAAGAGTTTCACATCCTCCCCCTCTTCATCTTCT